GCAAGAATTACTACCTACTAATTACTACGTACTGCCTACTAAGTAAAACAAGTGGTTACCAAGGAATTACTTACATGAGACTTTGACCAGTAAATGAAGACCTCAGCCACCATGCGGAATAATTCTTCCGCTTCAGGGTTGGGCTCTTTCAGCCATTTTGCCCTAAAATTCGGTAAAAGGGTGGAAATGTGGATGATCTTCACTGTATTTATCAAATAAGTTTTCAAAATTTTACAAGGATACAAGCCAACTAAACCAAGCATACATGCTTTTAATCCTTTCGGGTAGCAGTGTTTTCTTGATATCCTATTTCAAAACCCTTAAAATCCTTTTATGTTAATCCTAGGTCTAATCCAACAAATTTTGATTGCATCTTTTTTTTCTTTTTTTCCAGTTTTCTCCTGAAAAAGACCCCAGCTCCTCCTAAAAGTCATAAAGCATCAGCTTGAGAAACTTCAGGATTGGCAGGCTGAGTAAGAGCTACTTTAATTCAGTGCTAGGCTTATGAAGGGATAAGATTCGGTATCAATAACAGGAACATTTTACGAGATTCATTGACCTATTCCTCTCCACATACCTGTTATAGTCCACAAATCTAATCAACAAAGGGTAGAAGGCATAGAGGTCCCGTGCCAAAGTGGTGAACTCATCTAGGATGAGCAGTTCAGCCTCCGACATGTCACCTCTGCCTTCTGCTCTTAGATGTTCTTCATCCGATACAACCACTGCTGCTTTTTTCTTTAGCTTATCCATCAGTGGCAGGAAGTGTGTCTTTAAGAGCTCTGGCTTCGCTTTGCTTATGATGGGCTGGGAAAACACTATTTAAGGCAACGAATATTATAATATATACCTGGCCACAAAATATAAATAAAAACTTTTACTTTTCCCCTCTTTCTTGGATCTTATTTCTAGGCAACAGGGTAAAATCCTGCCCCCATTGAAATCAGCAGAATTTTTGCCAAGAATTAAATGTGGTCAGGATTTCACATAGTCAATTCACTCTGTCACTATGAGGGCAGAAATTACAACTTCACAGACTCAGCTTGTGAGATCATAAAACTTCCTTCCTGGCATTCTGTCAACATACTGGTATTTGCCAATTTTACTTAGTAATGTAGAAGGTGTTTAATGGTATGTACGGGTGGACAGCTACATAGCACACACACAAGTTTTCTCAGCCACTGGCTCCTCTTTTGAACCTTGCTTTTTAGCTTGAGCGAAGTAGAACTGGAAAGCATGCTCTAGTTATTTGCAAAGCTACTGAAACTGCCTGCCTGTATTTCTCATGCACTGGACACTGGAAGGCTTGTGTGTAGACAGAAATGAGACCAACTCAACCATCCATCAAGCAGCTATTTGAGACTTGTAAGCACAACCTTTTTAAAACCTGCTTACAAAAATAAATATGTAAATTATCACTTCATCTGGGCCCATTAGTGCAAAGCCATTTGCAACATATCCATTAAATTACAAAGAATTTTAGGCAGCTACCACTTATCCTTAGAGTACATTATGTTACCAACCCTCAAAAGACTAGGAATCCAGACTGCTACCATCAATGAAATTACAACAGCAATAACTACTGAAAAGTCATAAGAAAGCCTAATCAAAAAACTGATTTCACAAAGTGACTTTTTCTTATGGATTGTAACACTGAGAAATAAATTGGTTATAAATAAATTTTAAGGTGTTATCACAAAGAAGTTAATGTAAGGATCACTAAAATGACATATGCATTTCCACATTTCATTGTAACACAAATGTTAGATACACAACTTCAAAACAATATTTTAAGGCTCCAGTACTCATACAGAATAGCAAGGAACTGTGTAATGCCTGCAAATGGAAACTTGCTATATAATGAAAATCGTCTAAATAACTATTCTTCTTTAATTCAATACAGTAGAAAATACACATGTGCATATTCTTGGGAAAAAAACAATTATCTAATGTATCCATATTACTTATTAAGAGATTTAAACATACTGCTTACACTACTCTTTCTTTATACTTAATATTTCTGGTTCATGAAGATCTGCATTGTTTAAAAACATAAAAATATGAGTGTTGTTTTACTCCAGCTTTAAGAGGGTGAATACAGAGTAATTCAGAGTGTGTGTATATACATATATACACACACACATTCTGAACAGACACACACATTCTTACCTGCTAATCTCTTCATCCAGGCTCCTTCATCAATACCAAGGTTGTTATAGATGATTTTCAATATGTTACCCAAGAGAGTGTTCATGTGCTCTGACGTCAAGGCTGTGCAACACATTTCAGCCTTGTCAGGATTGTTTTCTGGGCCATGTTCCCACCAGTGTGACATGTAACTACATAGCATAGGCAGTATTACTTCCATGATATGTGGCATTTGTGTGTAACGAATACCAGATTCTGCCAGTTCCACAATTTCTTCCATTAGCTTCACCAAGGAAGGAATATTTGGGCAAACCTCTTCTACACTAGTAGGCAAGTTGAGAACTATAAAAAAAAAAAATTCCAAAAATCAATAAACTAAGTCACAGAGGGAAAATACTTCTTCTCAATTGCTATTCCATACAACTTTTGGTTTCTGTTTACATTTATGCCCTTCTGATTCAAGGAAAAAAAAAACAAACACAACAATAAAAAACAGGTACTTTCATACCATTGACCAAGGAAGTGTTTATATATAAGATTCAATAATAAAACTTTCTATAATAAAAATAATTCCTATATGGAAGCTACAACAATGTAATTATTATGGAATGAATTCAGAGAAATCAGATGCAATTAGCTATATTTGAAATAAAGCTTAAATTTCATAATTTTTTCCAACATAAGCTTTGCAGTTGAGGAAACAAATTGATAAAATCTCTCCACAACACATCAGATGAGACCTAGAATGCTACTAGGAAAAAAAAAAAATAAAATCATTGCCTGACATAATGAGTAGAGCAGATTCCGAGAAACTGACTTCTGGAGGTGAATTTCTGATTGTAAATATTTAGTTCTCAAGTTATTTGAATTAGCAGTTTCCCCCTCTGAAAAGGCACTGCATTTGCCTTTATTTTTGGAGGCAGTTTCTTTCATATACAAATAAGTATCTGTAAGCACAACTATTAGCTGTTGAATGTCTAACATCCTGAAATACACATACAATGAGATTACAGGTATCTATATATTGAAAATTTAGTCTGCAACCTGTGAATTCAAATATTTGTACCAACGTAGCCTAAGGCTAGTCTTTTTACAAAAACAGTCTCTTCTCCTGTTTAGATCCAAATACATTTTACACAGCCATTGCAGTCTCCTTCAAATTTCTGTTAAATGTACAGCGGATTGTCTTTCTAGATGTATTAAAATAGCTAGAATATATATGGTAAGTAAGTATGGCTGTTAATATTTTCAAGATAAGACACAACAGCTCTTTGAAGAACAAATCTGGTATGCTTCCTTTTTTTAAAAAAAAGGTGAAGTTATAAAACGGATACCATTACAAACTGGCATCTATACATATCTGTGACATAATTCACACTCAGCATATAGGCAGAGTTTGCACAGTTCTGCTTTACCCTCTGTTTACCATAGGAACAAGTAGTGTGTATGACCTTATTCAATAGGGTTTAGCATTAAAAAAAAGCAAGAGTTTAAGAATGGAACAAGAAGGTATATGCAAAATAAACATACATAATGTTACTGGAAAGTATCTGTACTGCTTTGTATTTCAAACAAAGAAAAAACAATCTACATAGTACTCCGCAGTGTATTTACTTTCTAAGGTTATATTATGTACCTAATACAGGCAAAGGTATTCTGCTTCAGTTGCAAGTACGTATGTTTTAGGGACCCAATATTCCATATGAAAACTAAGGAACTAAAGTTACTGACTAGAATACATGTTTTTATCATCAAAGCTATAATACCTGAGATTCTAAAAATGTGCAAAGTCCCTTCAATAAATGTATTCCAAAGTGGTATTTTGAGAACGGTATCTCAAAATGAAAACATCAGTATCTTTAGAAATGTAAAATAATTGGTTTCACTAGACTTAGCCCATTGATTTAGGAAAGAAATACAACCAAGAGATTACAAGAAAATTCTTGCACTATAAAATGTATGCAAAATACATGTATTAAGGCAAGCAGCATTTACAGTGAAATTGTGTTTTCATAACCATCATGCGAGTTTCTGGAAATACCTGCTCTTTCTCTTGCATTCTGGGTATTGTAAATTGAGTAGATATTGTGTTTGTTCAAATGAGTTTCCAAAAAAGCCACTGGAAAGGCACCTGAGAAAGCGGCCAAGCATTCCCCTAGTGCTGATCGTTGCCTGTGAATTAACAAACACTGTTAAGTATACACACCTTTGATGAGTGACTACACCTCAGGGTAGTTGTATACCAGCCTTATTTTTATTCTAAGATTCTTAAGGGAGGGGAAAGTTGTTTCTGATGATCAATAACTCTGAAACTTTTGCACAAAAACATTGCTCTAATGTCTTAAAATATATGACAATACTTATTTGATAATCAAAATTCCTTAAGTGTGTCAAAATTGTAACAAGCCTGTCTCTAGGAAGAAGTAAGTGATCCCCTGTCACATCACCTGGGTCCCTCAGGGGACATTTAAAACTATGCTTTCTGATTTCCAATTCAGTTGATCAGAGCAGATTTTAGATATGTGAGAAATCTTGCTGAAGCCGAGCCACACAGATGACAGAAATCCAGAAGTCCCATTAACTTCCAAGTAAAAAAAAAAAAAAAAAAAAGGCCTCCAAACTGATCTTGTGATTTAACAAGATTCATCTTCAGTCTATAGTTTAGCTTATATTCTTTCTAGATCTAACCCATTAAACTTGATTTTGTTAAATCTGATTTCATTCCCATTATTATTTATCCTGATTGCTCGTCTTCCTTTTTTTCCTTAGGTCTTCATAAGAAAACATCCATCCATTCATCACATACGCTTACAAAGAGCATTCTATGCGCTTTTCACTTGCAATAATGGTTGTAGACAACCACACACAAAAATTATCACTTACAGTGACGTATTTCATCTTAACTACAACCCCCACATCATTTATTTGCCTAATAGCAAAACCAATTAATTTTATATCCCTTATGAAATTAATGAGACCTGTTTTTTCCTCAGATGTGTATTTTGTTTCTTATAAACATTGGTCCCCTCCTTACTTCGTAATGTTTCCTATGATACCGCCACCAAGTAAGCAAGGGTATGTCACGGGGCTGGTCTGGGGTTATGCACAGGTTGATTTGCTAGGCAGTGTACAGATGCATGAAGTTCCTGGATTACTGCCACCAATATCTGAAATGTATGAGTTTGTTTAGCCTTCTCTCAGAACAGCGCTAGTCACCATAGGGCAACTATTCAGCTTTAAGAACTGAACTATCTAGGTACCTCTACTTTTTTGGCCAACTATTGTTTACATGGAGTGAATGTAACTTGGAGGGAAGTTAGCAGATACACAGATACACAAAAAAACAATTATAAAGCCTCATTTTCCCGGGTAATTGAGCTACAAAACAAGCAGTATTGTGCAACTGACAAATTAAATTAAATTTAGGGTAATGAGAAAGAAATATACATCACAATTAAACAATACATAAGGAAGAATTACAACAATAGCTAAGCTAAATGACACACTTTTACAATTCCCTGCTTGAATCTCAAATCAAGTGATATTTATTACAAAGTCAGACAATTTTATTTGAAATTTTTGTTTTAATTAAGAAATACATTTTTGACAAACATATAATGCAACATTTTAAGTGTATTATAGTAAATGCAGCTGCGTTCCACTCAATATCTGAGCACCTTTTTTCTCTCAAGACATCCTTCCAACAAGAATCTCTTCCTACATTAATTTCTGGACTGCATATCCATGAAGCTAAATATAAACACAAATACTGAAAATCAAGGAACAGTTTCTCTTCTTACCGCTCTACATAGATACTCTTGCTGGTTCCCAGAGCGTATAAACTGGCCAGTATTCTGTAACAGGAGACTTGAACATCTTCCACTAAAGAGAAGAAGAAAATAATAGGTATAAAGAGATTTTTCTTTGCAATACATTCCTGTAGAATTAAAATACATTTATTTTGACAATAACTGAATTAATAATATTAAGCTATCAAAGGCAATCCACAAAAATCACTCTCTAAATACAAAAAGCCTTTGGATCACTCAGTGCCATAGTTTTTACTCAGAACTTCCATTTATTTCAATACCAAGTTACCAGCTAAGACAGTAATCATATTTCACTAGTGCACTAACTTTCTGAAATTAATGGCATACTAACTCTTTATGGATAGCATCTAATTGTATAATCTGAGAATTTATTAATTTACTAGCTATAAAAAAGAAATGTGTCAATGAATCTTTTCTAGTTTATCTGTACCACTCAAGAAAGTTTCATGGCAAAACAAATAAAAAGCTCAAAGTAAAAAATATTAGTCAACAAATTGCAAATGTAACATAACCGCATAAAATAAAGGCAATCCTGTTGTAGAGATATTGAATTATTTTCATCACAGTTTATATTTTTTTTAATTTAGAAACAAATACCAGTTAATAGCATGTACTTAATTTACACTTCAGACTGACAAAGGATCAAAAAAATAGATAATCTTTTAGTCCTTATGAAAATTTTAGCACAGCATGTTTTGAAATTATCAAATGTGTCAGTTACAAAATTTTGAGAATAACCTTAACAACCATTTGAAAAAATGATGTTTTTCCAGTGTAATCTGCAGTAATAGTGTAACAGTATAATTACCATCCAGAAGGACAACACTCCCGTTCTTTCCATGTATGTTTTCTCTGGTCTCTCCCACAGTGCTAGTGTGTTCCACCAATATGCAATGAAAAGTTGGGGGCAAAATAGAACTAAAACTTAATGGACTGGGAGAGCCTACAAGCTACATAGCTTGGTTCTTCACTATATCATGATTTTAGTTCAGATCATCTTGGAGTTGAGTGTTTTTACATAATAAGAGTAACCTCAGGTACACTGACCCACCGTTTTAAATGATCACACCATGGAGTATTCTGTACACGTAGTAATACTCTTAGGTACAAACACCAGGTCAAGATGCTTGTCAGCAGAGTAGTACAAATAAGATAAACTTATTCTTTACAAGATGTAAAGAGAAGTTGTGTGTAAGAAAAATTAGCCTTTCCAACTATGCTCCATACAAAATAAGTGGGCACAATTTAAATTCATTATTCTCTCTCAGTTTATGAATTCTAAATCAGGTGTTTGACACCAGTGTGATGTACGTAAAAAAGCTGATTAAGAATACCAACTTAAGTAATAAAGTATCAAAGGCTAATTATTAAGTTCCAAAACATGAAATACCAAAGATCAAAAAATTATATTAGGTATGAACATGTTGATTCCTGAAAACGTGGTTTATGATGAACAAATGATGCATGTGGATCCCACAGACAACATTTTCTGGATACTGTCACAGACTCCTGAATTTTACAGAAATAATTTAATGAGAAAAGCAGATGTTTACATCTTATCGCATTCAAATCCATCAATACAACTCCAAATTTTCAAAAACTTTTCTCTTCATGCTATTTTAAAGAATGCTTTTCCAGATTACGAAAAGAGAAAAATATGACTTGATACTCTTTTTTTCCAGGTCCTTCTCAGTTATTTCAATAACTGAGTTAGCTATACAGAGCAGAATTGCCTCCTTTACTGCAGTCTGGACACCAAAATTCCTGTGGAGTTCCTAAAATATATACAATTATTGTGTTGCAGAATGGAAAAAGTTCTCTTGCAGAGGCTGGGTTTGGGAAAACAAAGGACACTGCATCTGCCATAATCAGAATCTCTACAGAAATCTCATATACCCAGTCTCATACACACTCCCTTCTCCACTTTTTTGACTTTTCCTCTTTTCCTTAGGATCTATGATGGACCCACACAAATTCCCTGCTAACTCAAACTGAGTCAAGGTGCATGTCTGACAGAATTCTCATAGTATAACCTCATTTATAGACAGAGAAAAGACAAATCAACTTATACAAGGTAAATTTTCACACAAGAAGAAAATCACAGTAAATCTATGGTAAATTTATAAACAAAATGGAGCCTTCTGACAGTCGAATCACAGCCACATCTACTTTAATATTTATACAAAGTCCACTAAAACCTGCAGACTGTCCTAGGTCAATTGCAGCAAACGTTTGATTGAATCAATGACAACTTTGTCAAAATGACACAGGATTTGTGCTTCTCTAATAGAACTGAGAGTCTAGCAATGCTTACTACATGACACTATAGTTATTTTAGTGCCATGGCACGTCTAAATAATACATACATATCAAATCTTCCCCAAACTGGTGCTGTCCAATATGCTCAAATAATGAAGATAGCACTGGCAGGAGAGCAACTGTGGTATAATTAATGATTTGTGTAATTCCCTTTGGTTGGTTTCTGCTGTGTGTAAACTGGCCTTGCTTAAGATTTTCCATTGTTTTCTCCAGATCCTCAGCAGCATTGTCCAAAAATGCCCTCAATGCCATCTTAACAGATTCCAGACCAGTTTTCATCACAGTCCTGTATATAGCATGCAAAAAGAATGAAAAATATTATCCTATTAGACACGCACGGAATACAACCTAGTCTTGGCTTATGTGAAATAGACAATAAAGAAAAATCTTTCATCTTTTGATATTGCGAAATCTTCTCATAGCAGAACCTACTGAAAAAAAACATTTCACAGGTATCCTGCAGAACACAAGGACATTTTATCTGGTTTCCCATTAAGAAAACAAAATCCTTTTAAATTTATAAATTAAGTGATTCATTTGCCTTCAGAGGGGAAAAAAAAAAAAAGCACTATCTGCATGTAAAGCAGTCAATTCTTTGAGGGTAATTAACTAGTAATTAACTGACTTTGCAATGGGAATTCTTTTCAGTACTATAACTTCCAGAGTTTTGAAATTCTGCAGCCTTATAGAGATAGCCCAAATCTGACTGCACATTATTTTCTTAAGTGATTTTCTTCATAGTTTAGAAAACATACTCAGTATTACCTTGCATCCAAGGTCTGGCCCAGTATGTGAAGACAGTTGACTATTGATGTTGCATCATTTCCTAAACAGGAAGGAAAATTATCCACCAGTTAAGCTGAGCAAACTGTATAGTAAATACCTACACTCTGCTAACTGTAGCTCTGGTTTTAATGAAAGAGTAAATGGCATAGCATAAGAGCAATTGAACTTCTGCATAATTTTAACATTCAAGTTAAAAAACATGCAGTTTGTTGTCTTAGCCTTGTTTACACAAATGCAGTAACAAGAGGCAGTAAAGCATCTCTCATCAAATAGCTGAGGCAGTCAGGATGGAAGCACTTAAACGTGGGGTTAATTAGCGCTGCAGTGTATTGTCTGGTTTTCATTTAAGTTCTATAAATTTTGCTTTAATTCATTCAAGTTTATCTGAACATTTATCTTCCTCTCTATAACATAAAAACTGTTAACTTTCACAAGCTGCTATCACAGGAAAAGAACATTTATATAAAATGTCATCATAAAGGTTAGCTCCTTGACGTTACCAATAGGCTGCAGCCATTTATAGCAAGATCAGGTGGCCCACATGAGTAAAAGTCTCTGACATAATATGCATCTCCCATAATCAATTATTTTTTTCACACTTACATAAGAAAAGAACTTACAACATGCCTTGTATGCGTATGTACATCTCAAGATGTTGCCACGTATACAAGCCATCTGTAAATTCACTTTTTAAATCCAGGACAGATTTAGGCTACACAAATTTGACGTACAGTTTATTTAATATACTTTTAAAAAAAAATATCTATCTCTGCAAACATGAAAATACTTTTTCTGGCTTCTCCATATATCTGAAGTTTCTCAAATAAAAAAAAAATGAAACAATGTTTAAGACAAGATAGATTTCTGAAAATACTGTCATTTGCATACAGTGCATACATACTTTCTCACTAATGGTTACTTCACTTGAAAATATAGGCAAACATACAACTAAAATTAGCAGCTGTTTCTGTGGAACAAAGATTTTAAAAGACGAATCGCAAGGAAGGAGTGGGAGGTTTATTGCAGCACTGAGAATGGTGTTCTGTGCTATCAAACTCGGAGGCATTGTTGTGGTGTTCACCCACAGTAGATTAAACTAAACCTGAACCACAGCTTCCCCGACTGTCCCTAGCCAGGCTGCCCACCCTCTTTGCACTGGCACTGATGGTCATGCAACAATATAGTGAGCAGATGAGAAAGCTGAGGTGGCTTTAAAAAGTCCTACCAAAAAAACCCCACCTCAAATAATGAAGTTTTTTGTCAGATCCTGGTTTTTTCCTTACTATTTTACTGCTCTGGTGATATGAATGCCAGTGCTGACGAAGAAGAGAGGGGAGGGCTGTGCTATTGACACCAGGAATCGAGGGAAGTACTCTAACCTACTCCAATTTAGTGGATTAGTTGATTAGACTGTTATGAAATAGTATCTTAATATTTGTTGTGCAAGTGTGTATATGCTGCAGTACAGTGCAGTACAGAGATGCTCACTCCCGTTCCCTGAAAATTTACATTGGCAACCTAGTTGTACCATGTAGACACATTTCAAGAGCCATATATTTATCAGAAATCAGGCACTTTGTATGCTGCAACCAGATGGAAGGGTCAGAAGTTCATTTAGTTATTCTGAAAACCAGACAAGCTTTAGGCATACCCGTGTAGCAGGCACTGAGTGTGGTTGTTCCACAGACTGGGATATCCGAGCAGAACTCAGTGATCATGATAAACGCAGCCCCCTCTGATCTAAACTAATTGACATCCTAGAGTATGGCCAGTTTTATCCCTGTAACACTAAAAAACCAGACTTTCAAAATTATCACGCAACTTCTTTTCTGGAATGTCCCCTTCAAGCACGATTTGTTACAGGATCTTAGAAAATGCAATTTGCTATGAAAGACAGGTTTAGGTTCAGTGGAAATTCTGTGTCTTGCTTTTGTTCAATGTCATGAATGTAGCTGTTTTCACTATGTTTCAAAAACAAAAACTCGCAAAAAAGGAGTACTTTTTAATATTTTACCTTAAAATAACACAGCTAAAAGTTAAAAAAAAAAAAAAAAAACAAAAAAAAAAACTGTTAAATTGAACGTTTCAAGAATCAGTTTGCTTCCAACCTGAGGTCAGAAGTCAATATTAAAAGGTCATTTTTTTTTTTTAATTTAGCTATGAAAGCTAAAATGAGGGGTTTTCTCATTAAACTTTTTTAATACAGTTGACAATATTTCACAATGTATCTATGTACGTTTAATAAAAAATAATATTTTTAATTTAGTGATTAAAAATGTTCTTGGTTTTCAGAAGTGTGAAAACTAGATGCAAAAGACACTCACGTGGAAATGAACGTGCAGTATATAAAATTCTGTTAACTCATGAAAGGGGAGCAGGTGATAAGTACCATTCAATAGGATAAAAACTGAAACAAGACCCGCTCCTTAAAGGAACTCTTCACACAACTCAAAACAATAGAGGCTGGACATATGCAAATACTAAACCACAAGTTCAAGAGGCTTTAAGGCAAAAAGTATCCCAGGAGCTAGTATAAGTATTGATGGTTGGATCACCATTCAGCATGTATTACAATCGCAGTTGATCCCTTAAACTGCATAACTCAGTTTCTACAAAAATCTGAGGTTCAGTACAACATATTCTAGAAAGCTGTATTATTATATCAGGAGGGAAGAACTATTGCTGTATTGTAAAAGTGCTGTGGATATTGATTCCAGGATGCCCTGCTGGAAGGACACTTATAAATTCAGGATGTCATTAGGCAGAGAAAGCCTCCTGTTTCTTTTTAGGAACTCTTCTGATTAACTTCTGCAAGTTCCCAAAGATGGAAAGTGTCCCTGCCCACGGCAGGGCTGTTGGAACTAGATGCTCTTTATGGTCAATTCCATAATCTCAGTAACGCTCTTAGGTGTTAAATGTGATTAACTGTTTAAGTTCAGTCTGGAAGACTTGCATGCTTTATTTCCTATTTTATCAAGACTTCTCTATACAGCTTAACCTACATGACTTTCATACATGCAGCTGTACCTTCATAAGTACCATTCGAATTCACGATAATATAAAACACCTATATATCAAAACTATACAGCATTTTGCCATGTTAGAGCAAACTCCCCACTATCCATAAAGGTTATTATTGAGCAACTCTTGTTCATTCATGATGCCTCCAAAACCTAGAAATAACTTTCTAGGCCCCAGCTGTGCTCAGAGGCTGTCCTCATGAGCATGTTCCCCCCTTCTACACAGGCCTTGTCTTTGCTGGAGTAAGTGTAGCTCTTTTGATCAGGTTTTCTAACATGATGGAACTCACTGTCAAGGTAAGGCAAACTGTCAGGTGACTTTGAGTTGAGTTAGTAGGTCCACAGTAAATGACCATGCTTCAGAGTCTTAGCATGACTTTGTCATAACTCATGGAAAAACTACAGTACACTTCTGTGTTGGCACAAAGATTTTGTATTGCTAGTTACTGCACACTAGGAAAAGAGTTAAAAACCAAACTATAGCCATAGTGAATACTCATCTTCTCCCATCTGACTTATCTCCTTCTACCACTTTAATCCAGACAAACAATGGGAAATAAGTAAGCTGACATGTGGAATGGAAAAGATCTTTTCTTCAGTACTGAACAAAGTTACATTGACTTGGATTTTTAACTTCAACTGTTACTCATTTTAGGAAAAAAAAAGTCAGAAAAACTAATTAACAAAATAACAAAAAATATTTGCAAAATTTTAATAGTATACCTGATCTAGTTCATTCTTTGGAGAAACAACCTAAGGTATAAACAAGAGCTTATGTGTACATCTATGACATACTCCACCCTTCAGAAAAAGCTGCAACAACGCCACACAGCTGCAGAAATAACTCCATTCATCCTATGATCTTTTGACTTTACAGACAAATCCACTCAGCTCATCCCAAAACATACTTAAAAGTGATATCCCAAAATAATTTCCAATTTTTCTTCTCAGTTTAACGGTTTTCATAATGGTCTGTAAGCTTTTTAAACAGCACACTGCTGCAGCAAGTGAGTTCCTTCCCTTCAAATTGAATGAAATATGTAGGAAAAGAGTTAGAGGCACATTATCTTAACCAAATTCTAATCACTAGATAAGTACCCAATTAGGTATGTTCATGGATGCTGAAGTTTGCAATGCATCAATCATAAAAGCTATATAAGCATAAGATGCACTATTTCAACTATCCTAGCATCATGACACACAAAAAAATTGCAGAGTAAATGACTGTGCCGCACGTTGCATACATTGTATACACTTGATACAGATTTCAAATTGACTTCAATTAAGTGATTTTTCACATGGCATAAGACAAACACCAAGCTCCTGCTAGTTTCACATAATACCAGAAAGATAGCACACATGCGTATGTGGAGTCAAGCACATCTGGGAATATTTAAGAATTCTGCAGAACATCACTAAGCATTTCAGCCCATGACAAATTTTCCTTAATGACTTTCCAATAGAAATGTGCAGTTCTGATGCTCTGTTTTTCCCAAACTACTTAGAATAAAATAACAAATTAGTAATTATAATTAACTCAGCATAATTCTTTGGTAGGGTAATCAAATCCAGATATTAGTTAAGACACATGGAAAACTAAACAAAAAAAAAACCCAAACTGATAACTACAAAAGCTTTTTATTCCATCTAGTAAATTCAGTGTTTTACCAGCCCAAATGATTAGTGGCCTGTGAAGACCATGCATTTCAGCCATGCAGCATGCAACAAAGCAGCACGTAACACAATGCAAAAATGGCAAAGAAAACCAAGTGATGGCCATGCTAGTATTTGTCAAGGGTCTCCTTACCAAACAGTGAAATCCTATGCCTGACAAGAACTCCAAGTTTGCAGAACAGGCTGAAGACAAAAGAAAAATAAAAGAGAAGAGAAGGGAAAAGGAAAAAAAATAAGGGAGGGGGAGAAGAAAGAAAAAATAACAGCTGATATATGAGCAGGAAAAGCAACATGATGTCACGCAGAAAGAATCAATTATCTGAGCAGAATGTGGGACAGAATACTAAAGAAAGAGTTTTTAAGTGCATATCCTTAACAAACATGGTTAAATAAGCACATATTATAATTAAAGAAATAAAAAAAAAATTAAAAGCAAAGCTAATATAAAAGCGTCCTATATGACAACCCACAAGGAAATAACCATCAAAGCTTTAAGAAGTAAAATGTGGTCAGTGTGCTATTGAGGATACCACTGACAATTTGAAAACAAAAGGTAAGGAAATCAGATTAATTGAAGTGTTTGATGGCAAATGTTTAACTAGTCCAATTTGGATCTTGACATTTTGAACACAGTGAGAATTTCTTTTCAAATACATTGCTTTTTAAACACACTTAAGACAAGAAATAGCCTCTTCCATGGTTGAAAACCAACAAATATGGATATGATCAGTTATTTCATTTCACATATTTTAATTACTTCCTGTGTTGATGAGCAGTCCCCTGTTCAGAACAATGAAGAATGAAGTTTTGTGTTAATTCACAAAAGCAGGAGCACACTGCCCTGCCCAAATTGACCTGGCCTCCAGATTTAGTAGGGGTTCAGTCTGAGAGGTTTCTCCAAGAGCAACATCAATTTTGGTGTTATTTTTTATGCTGCAAAACCCCTCCATCTGCTATAAATGACATGAACAATATCATGTCATTTTATTAAGCTATTTAATTATTAGGCACACAGGCTAGTTATCAACCTCTGTTTTAAAAGCAAAAGATACCATAAGCATGTCTGCAGAGTTTATGGATGAAATCTGAACATGTTGTTCCATCGACAGACTAGAGCATGGTGCCAAATGGAAACATTTATGTCCAGAATCAGAACAGCCAGGTTAATGTGGTGTTGAATCTAGTTAATTAGCCAGTGCACAGTGATCCACTATAGCAACAGCAACTGCTCTGTTTTAGAAATGAGTCTGGTCGGTGCATGTTCAGGGATCTCTGTTCGCTTTTTATTCCATGAGGCAGACATATACTATATATTCTTTTATAAGGATCCTGGTTCACCCAGTCCAATGGGAAAAGCTGTATAGAAGCACCTTAGCATCACATAAATAATTCTGAATCTTGCGTCCATTCTAACAAAGACATTAAATAGCTCACCATCTACCTTATTTTCTAACATACAAATGTTACCCGACTGATTGTAGCATTCAGCAGATGCTATGATTTCACAAAGTCAAACTGAACCTATTATCTCTGGTGTCATTAGTTTAGGTTAAATAAATAAATTAATTAAAATGTCCAAATGGCCAGTACTCAGATTGATGCCCAGAACTACTTTTATACAACTGCAGTAGTACAAGGACTTGTAAGATGCTTTAATGGATGAGAAATGCCAAAAGCCCAATCCTGAAGAGGCTTGTTACAAATAAGATGAAATATAATGCCACCATATTTCACGAAGAGGTCTGAACCATATTCTCCTGGAAAACAGACCTGGATTTAATTTATGGAATGGTTATTGCACTTGTTAACACTGTCACTGCACTATCAATACCCATAATCATACCCTTCCATAGCTAAATGAATGCAAGAGTATCTTCACTGGAAAAATAAAGCAGCCAGGAACTGCCCTTAGCCTGAAGAAAAACCTACGTAGGAGTTGCACTCAAACAAATTTAAAGGGAAAACTCAACAGAAAACCAAAAATTTAGCTTTGGCAAACTCCCTACAATACTGTAAGGGGGAAAAAAAACCCAACCCAAGAAAATATTTGGAATCTATTAAAATGTCTCAAAATAAACCTTCAATAAATAGATCATATAATGTAGTTTCTATAATCTTTGTGTCTTCATAATTAAGAAACAAACAGCTCAGTAGCACTGGTTATATAGCTATCATTCATCCAAGGTTTCCTTGCATGTGTTTTCTTCTCTTTGGCTGACACTTCTGGATGCCAGGTAACTCAATTAAGTGTGGCAGCAGCTCTGATCCTTTTGCTGCACTACACTTTCAGGAATCTCACACAGCTAGACAAAAGTTCTGAATCTAAGCAGCAGTTATGCTGATAAATCCATGTTTGACATGTTCCAGAAGTATGGGGTTTATTGTCATGACTAAACAACTGTGAAAATATTGTTATCCAGGACATTACAGACAGAAAAAGAGCAGCCCATAGAGTGGAAAATTATCTAGATGCATGCATTTTGATAGAGTTTTTCAATTCTTTGAAGAATGCCATTCGGCCAAGCTGCCAGATCAAATTAGGCATGAGATGACACAGGCCAAGACAGGCATTACTTACTTACGCCTAGTGTTGTTGCTAGAAACTTCAGTCAGTATTCACACAGCCTTGCAAACCCTGCATGTCTGTACAACCATCAATTGTCTGACAGTCTCAAAGAACAGCAATTCAGTTTTGCATGGTTCTCAATACCCAGCGACAGCCAAGAAGGCACCTATGACACCTGTACATTAACAGGGATGCAGTAGGTCCTGTGTGAAGCTTGTTGTCCATCTTACTAAATGGGAAATACAGGTTTCAATTCAATCAGAAGTTACATTAAGTGAAAACACATCTTAGATAGATGATCTAAAAAATGGATAACCTCAGAGAAAGAATCAAGTGGATATTTATGTCGTATTACTACTGTCAATACTATTTAGAAAACCAAAGAGCAGAAAGAATGCAACTCTCTCGTTTTTCATGGCGGACATTAATAATGATATTTACTGAAGCTCAGTTATAAATAAGTTTGGCTTTTAATCTACCACAAAATTTTGCAGAAATAACTATTTAAGTACATACTTATTTCCAGCAGTGAAAACCGATACACAATTGCATAGCCTGTGCCACAGACTGTGCAACTGATGTACTGTTGCACATAATGCCAAATTTTAGTTCCCTGCATGCTAAAATCATCACCACTACCTTTAAAACAGCATATAATCATAACTCTGTATTGCTCTCTTCATTTTATACAATGAATTTTCCTAACAGGAAAAGAAAGTGAAAAAAAATTAATTTGCATGTTCATAAAAATATTTCTCTGCCTCTCACTTCTCACTTTCCCACAAACAAACACACATATGCATACATATTAATATTATTTTAAGTTTTACCTTGTCACCATTTCCTTCTCTTTATTAGAGGCATGGCCTCCACTGCTGAGAGGCCTACTTGCTGCAGATAAGAAATACAGGCGATGATTTTTAAAATACTGATCAATCAAAGGGAGCACAACCTGAAATTACATCAGAAAGAATTGGTTATCTCTGGACTTTCTTTAGTATGTTCTGTATTACTGTTTGTAAGTCACAACTAAAGACAGAAGATTTCAAATGTGCTTTCTGTTTTGAAATCTCTATGTATTTCTTCTTTAACATCTATTCATCTTTGAATTTATTTAGTATTCAAGGCACTTAGAATGTCATCAGGAAAGGCAGCAGAAAAAAACGTACATTACCTCTGGGACTCGATCTGTGGTTTTTTTTTTTAGGAGGAGTACAAAGCAGAAAGTATAATTTAATTTTATCTCACAATTTAATATTTTTCTAGTACTACATTCCCAGACACAACTATTGCTGTTCATGCCTTTTAATGTAGATTTAAGAAAAATTTGCCTACAACTGTCAGTGCACTAATGGCACTTAATGCTAGATGCTATCAAATAAAACTCCCAAAACATCCTCACTTATTAAGGACTTGTCCACAGAAGTTTTCCTATTTACTTCATGTGGTGAGCGTTACTCAGTGCCCACTGCAGGTGTCAGCCAGGAAGAGATCCAAAGCAAACAGCCAATAAGACAATCTGAAATTGCTTCCTTTTTGGAGCACGGTTCAAAAGAACATGGAAGACTAGCTTCCGAGTCAATGAACTTGGCAAATAGTACCACACAGAACTACTTTAAGGTATCGAGATTATAGTTTACTGCAAGGATATCAGGGTTAGAAAAGGCTGCAAAGAGCTGCCTTTGCTTATTCACAAATGAATTCAAAAGGCATTTTGAATATGCAAACACCATACAAGCTACAAAAGATGTAAGCAGATTTTCTTGACAAAAAAAAGGAGAATTGGGCTGACGGGAATCTCATGATGTTCAGCAAGGGGAAGTGCAAAGTCCTGCACCTGGAGAGGAATAACCCCAGGTGCCAGTACACACCAAAGGCCGAGTAGCTGTAAAGCAGCTTTGCAGAGAAGGACCAGGGTGTCTCAGTGGACAGCCAACAATGCACCCACACTACAAAGGTGGCCAACAGTATCCAGGGTTGCATTAGACAGAGTGTTACCAGCAGGTCCAGGGGGTGACTCTTCCTCTCTACTCAGCACTGGTGAGGCCCCTTCTGAAGTGCCATGTCTGGTTCTGGGTTCCCAGTATGAGAGAAACATGGACATACTGGAGAGAGCGTCCAGTGAAGGACCACAAAGATGATAAAGGAACTAGAGGATCTTTCAAATGAGGAGAGACTGGGAGAGCTGAGACTCCTTAGCCTGGTGAAGAGAAGGCTCAGGGAGCATCTCATCAATGTGCATAAATATATGAAGGGAGTGTTTAAAGAGGACGAAGCCAGGCTCTTTTCAGCTGTGCCCCATGACAGGACCAGAGGCAATGGGAATAAACTGAAACACAGTGGGTTCCCTCTGACCATCAGGAAACACTTTTTTACTGTGAAGGTGACTGAGCACTGGCACAGGTTGTCCAGACAGATTGTGGAGTCTCCACCCTTGAATATATTCAAAAGCTGCCTGGACATGGTCCTGAGCAACCTGTTCTATGTGATGCTACTTAAGCGGTGAAGTTGGACTAGATGACCTCCAGAGTGCCCTTCGAACTTCAGCCATTCTGTGATTCTGTGATGGAGGCATCAGCAGAGTTTTAAAACAAGGAAATAAATAAGGAAGGTGACACTGACAGATACATAGCTGTGTTAATTCCAATAACTATTGCTCACTTTTATCTGCCTGAAGATTGTAAAAGAGAAAACACTTCAGGATTAGACTAAGCCAGTAAACAGAAAATATAGGGAGGTTATGAATAACATCATAGGAGTAGTTGCATATCATGGAGCAAGGAAATAATGAGAATAAGAATATAGTCCTGTAATTTTTTCACATCTATACATCTATACTTCATCCTACAGTATTTTCAAGCTATTTTTATTACTACTGTCTTTAATTAACAAAATAATGAATTTAACATGGAAAAGTGCAGCTATAACAACAATAATCATGTTCAATAGCAAATACTTTCTCACTTCAACTACTTACTACGTTGACAAAGAATAAGCAAAGATATACTGTACTTTGGCAAAAAACTTGATTTCTTGTTCATATGGGAAGTGCTCTCCCTTGCCTCTGCTGCCACCATCTGCAGAGAGATGAAAATTAAACTCCCTGTCATATATCCTAATTACAGTCGACTCTACATTTTTCTTAGAAAATGTACACTATGAACAAATAATATTGGTTGTCTTTAGATGTAGATTTAAGATACCACAAACAGTATGCACACTAGTTAAAGTGGCATTTTATGACTACCTCATGAGAAGAAAAGTTACAGCAAATAAAATGTGTGAAGAATAATTGTCCAAATCCAGTCATTACCAGGAGAAACAGAATTACAAATTTTTACTACTTATCTGTGGACTTTGTCTAAAGAACAAAATTAATGTCTAGAACTACCCAACTGAAACTAAAATTGCTTCACTTCCCCTATTTCTGTAAAAATTAAATACTCTTTACAGACATAATACAGTACAGCTCTCAGATTATTTATTGTTTACTTATTATTTTCCTTTTAACTAATCCATTGAGGGACATGAATGGTATATGTTGCACCAGTGTTTCTAGTGTTTTAGTATTTATTAATTATCACTCTTGCAGTTATGCCAAATTTATACAATTAAGTAGAATTAAGTCAGGATAATCAGGTATCAGCAGAAGTAACCCAATGAGTTATCAAGGCCAGACTTGCTACTGTAAGCAACCATGGCATATAATAATAGATTAATTCATAAATTAGTAATAATTCATAATAATTCATAAATTTGGTAATTTCTACTTTAAAACTAGATAAGCTTTTGGATGAGCATTGATTTATTCAATCTTTCTGCTGTTCCTGCCATTAATACTGTCAATTACAGCATCTATGCCTAGACATGAGGCATGGTGTATGCTATGTGGCACTGCAGCTCCCATGGTCGCAGAAAAGCTGCATCTGGCCAGTTTTTTTTGGCTTTTACTGCTCATGTAAGAAGCTGACTTGGGTCACCAAACTTTAATTTTTTTTTTTATCTTTAACAAAACGAGACCAAGTTAAATCCTCTCCTTCACAGCACTGTTGACGAAATACATGCTGGGTATTTCTGAAAGAACATTCCCATTGTGGGAGTTTGTTAAAGAGGTTTCTCTACTCAACTTCCTCCTCCAGAGAAAATTTCAGAATGGTACAAATGATTGGTCTTATTTGCTCTGTGAAAAAGGTATTACATGTGAATAGTAAATATTAACATGCATATATTAGACACTACCAATTTGTGCATAAATACAAGGGGGCTCCTAGTTTTCTTTTTCAAAAAATTAAAGTCATTATAAATTTTGGCTGAACACTTTTCATCTGAGGAATGAATATGTGAAATTGGAATGAACATGGGAAATTGGAATGAATATATGAACTACATAACTTTCTATAATTCATCACCTTAATCAACTATAGGAAACTAGACAAAAAACTCCTAGTCTGACAATGTGTAATTTTTTAAAAATTTTCTAGTTGTTTTTATAATATCAAACGTCTTAGTAAGTAATTCAAAATGCATAAGCAGTACTATACCAAACTCCAGAATGTACTGATGGGCTTCATCCACGTATCTTATAAGTTGCTGAAGGAAACTGTAGGCAAAGCGTTTTTCAATGGAAGGTGTGTCTAATTCCAAGTCCTTAAATCCTCTGTAAAAAGAAGCAAGTACATTTTCACACATGCAGACTCAGACTTACCTCTCCATGTAGTCTGATGTCATTTTCTCTAGTAACAATTAACTGCTTGTTAACATAAGAATTGTTCTATATTTGAAGTAAACAGTATTCTTATGATTATTTACATTTTGAGTAATTTGTTAAGATACAACTGAGATTTCCCAAGTAGAAAGTTACAGAAAAATTAGACTAGTCAACCAGATTAATCCAGTATCATTGTAATTTATTTCCCCTACTTTTAAGGCATTACTGTCTTATATTTCCCTCCAGGGATTGAGTCCTGGGTGAGAGAGTTTTGAACCTGACAAAATACCTTGATCTAAACAATCAAACCAGAAGTAAATCTAGTCTCCTTCATCATGACTTCTCCCCAAAAGTCTGTTTGTAATGGAAGGACTTTGAATAGCTCTGTAGCATTTCTAAAAATCAGGGGAAAAACAAACCAAAGTGATGGAATTGCAGTTTACCTTTTCCGGTATGTTCCATCATAGTTACCAGACTGATATGAAAAGCCTATCTTCTTTCAATAAGTATGAATCTGCAGAGAGTGGTTCCATTATGTGGGCTGATGTCTGCTAGCAACAAGCTGGCAATGACATAAGCCTTGATTCTGCAGGATCAGAACTCTAATGATGGCACAGGAAGAAGCTATGTTTAACCAACAAGGCAGTCAGTCACCCCACTGTCAGAGGCATCAAGTACATTAGTACTCAATTATTTTTCAAATTAAAAAGTATACCTAATGAATATAACTGCCTGTGTAGTATACACTCTGCTTTAAATCAGAACATTGCTGATGGTAGTGTTCATTTTCAGAAAAAGAGATTCTGGAACTAAACCAGGTTTGTCAGCTGATACTTGTAAGGGTACAAGAGTGCTTCAACGAGGTTAATGGATCAAGGACCTTCTCAATGCAAAAGGAGGTAATAAGAGAGAAGCCATAAACAAGAACACACAAAGACACAAACCTGGTAGAAAAGGGATAAAGGAGACAATGCTGAAGACCAAAAGCCTCCAGTTACTAATTAACGAGCCATTAAGAAACTTCAGGCACAGCTTTGGAGGGGGCCACCTGAATTTTGTAACTCCTAAGAGGAGGGGACATGAAGAACGTGAGGACTTGGAATATCTGAGACAGGTCAGTAGAACTACAAAAACTAATGATGGAATGTGCAGGGGAGAAGGATGGAGGAAGAGCAAAGGAGGGAAAAGAGAAAAAGGGGTATAAAAGGGGCCAGTCACATGTAAACCGTGGCCTGTCAATACTGTTGTCTGACTGAGCCCTGCACCTCATCACCAGAGTCTGTTCCATCTTCTCATTAAATCCTTTCTTAACTACCTCTCTGTGTAAACTCACTCACAATCCCACGTGTATGTGTGTGCTGCGAGGAGTAGGCACCAGCTACTGGCAACACCAGCGTTGGTGGATACTGGGCCAGTAACTGGAATCAGATTTTGGGTGTGGGTGCCTCTAGGCCTGTGGTGCCAGCAACAGGAGTGAATGAAGGTCCAGCAACTGGAGACAGACAGTGGAGGGGGGGACAGGGTAAAGCACCCATGGTCTGTGGTGTTTGCAACTGGAGCAAACGGGAGTCCCAGTTGCCAGCCACTGGGGTAGGAATGCTGTGTGTCCGAAAAAACAGCTAATGTGAGGGGGCAGTGTCAGTAAGGTGAGTGAGGGGCTCAGTGCCAGCAGCTGGAGTGGGACTGTGGGTCACAGGCCATGTGCCCGAGTGTGCACTAGACTAGAATGGTCACTGTCAAACAAAAGACTGGAAAGAAATGTGTGCAAGGCATATGTGGCAGAAAGTCAAGTGGTAAGCAGAACAAATAAAAACATGAATCAGATGCTTGTTTGTTTAGACAGCACGGTGGTCACAGGGGCAGCAGGTACATGGGCTTTAACTTGACAGACAGACCTCTGTTTGACTAGCACAGGAGAATGTAGACGTTGCAGGAACTATTTACTAGACAATGGGTATGACCATGGTAACTATTATCTTACCATCCCTCTTAACCTTCCACTCCCTCCAAAAACCAAATGCCATTTTTCAGTTGTGTTTAAGTTAGGCAGAAATAAAAAGGACTAATCAAAAAGGAACATGTAACCTTGAATATAAGATGAGGAATCTTTTGTAATTTTGACAGGGGATGAGAAAAGAAACCTTTGCTGACTGACATCCTTCTTTGTGCATTCTACTCCACTGAAAGGAAGTAAATTGAATTATTCCAGCTACCTTCAAAGATTTTACCTAGAATTATGAGATTAGCTGTGGGACTCTATAAATGGGCTGAATTTCATACGTGATACAAAAGAAAGGAAGTAGGCAGATTTTAAGTAGATGTGCTGGGCTAATTAATTCACAGTTATTACTTAAATCCATCTCTGTAGCTGTTTCATTCACTTACTAATTTTCAAGTCATACAAATCTCAGATATGCTTTCAGCCTTTCCTAGTGACTCACATTTCTTAAGGCTTGCTGATGAGGCAGACAAGCCTCCAATTTAATTAACATTTTATTCACACTGCATTTCGAGGTAAATATGTAGTATTAAACCCAAATGGAATTATGCATGCTATTCTGCAGAGAATAGTATGTATATGTACTGAATTATGAATGTTCTGTTGATTACTAGATTTATGCACAATTACTACACTTACACTGAGGATTGTTTACAAAAACTTTTTAAAAACATCACTTTTCACTTTTGACATATTTTAATAACACTACAAATTAACTCAGCTAAAATAAATTAGTAGTAGGTTTTAGAAATAAAGCTGTCTGTCTTATCAAAGCCATTGCCCAGAAATTCCAATGGAGAGGTGCATGTGCCTGACCTGTAATGAAGACTTAATAATTCTATCACTTGAAGAAAATGAACAAGTTTACTAACAGTTGGATGTAGACACACCAGAAAGAAAAAGCACACTGCAGTGTTGAGAGGAGAGACATAAGACGTGCAGAGATTCTGGAGCAATATGCCTGTGCCTTGCAAAAACCCTGCTACTAACTCTGTAATCCATTTCTTCCTTACAATGTTTTTTCTATATGAAGGAGCTCATCCTCACTGTCAGGTACTGTAACCTAAAAATCACCATTGATTTTTCTTTTCATAAAAATAATTTTTAAAAAAATTTTAAAAGGACATTGAGGAGTATTAGAAACTTTCTGTGACTCTACTACTGAAAAGAGAATTACCTGGAGACAACATATCCATTAATCTGTAGAAATTTCAGAATATCCTGTGCTTTTTCTCTGTCCTTGGCTTTTTCTTTGGCTGTGAGTGTATCATAAGGAACAAGAAGAGGATGGTTGCCTCCTCCTACTATGGAACATCAAGAGAATTAAAAGACAGTTAAAGAGTTATCTGTTGACATGGTAAATCCCAGTATGTAAAAGCACTGTCATAATAATACATAGCATGTTACAGTAAAATCTAATCTGAAATAAAAACAATGCACTCTTCTGTTTCTTTACACAAACCTGAAAAATATTCAGATAGAAATTTTAGATGCGGCTGCAAACACAGTTCTAACAAATATATGACCTAAACTTATCATAGAGAACTTAAAATACCTATAAGTTATTATTACCTTTTGCTTCAAGCTCCATTTTCTTTTTCTTTGCCCATATGTTATGGTAGTTTTCAGCCATCATCTCAGCCATAGCCTTAGGAAAATTGAGAGCTTAGTGATACATGTTGCAATGGTTAACCTCCAAGAAGGACAAATTTCTGGTTGCTATTAAATAACAAGTTTTGTTCTCTAGGAGTTCAATGCAATTACACTACAATTGTTCACTAAAAACAAGAGTTTTTATTGAAAAATTATGATATAGAATTTGGCTAGGATGGATACTTGTGTAGGAATTAGGAACCTGGTGCTAAAGAGAAAACTGTTAATACAGAAAAGAAGGAACCACAAAGAGGAGTATAGTCTGGAAAGAATGCTGGGGTATCAGACAGGGATTTGATTCTCAAAACAATGCCAGCAAGAATCCACTGAAGGCCCTGATAAGGGAAACAAAGAACAGCAAGCCAGAGGACTGAATCAAGATTGTTCCTGTTGGCTGCAGCAGACTGACTATAAACCCATGAATATAGCCTGGTCAAGGTGGCTACTTATTTGTGTGAGCACACTGTTAAAAGCACCAACCATTTTACCAGGGACTCCATAAACGCAGCCACAGTTTTTCTTTCAGTATGAAATTCTCCATTTTGCACAGCAGATAAGTAAATTCTTCCTATAAAACAAACCCTTTCAGACTGATAAACTACAAGCTAGACCCCAAACTAAGCAAAACACAGACAAGCTCTCCAGTTTCTATCTAGTAGGAACTACTATGCCAACATGAAACAACTTTTTAAACCCACCTCTCTTGTCCTGATGATTGTATACCCTCTATCTGTACAGTGGTGGAATTTTCTGTAGATTTCACTTTTCCTTTCTTTTATGGACCTACAGAAACATTCTTCTCACCTTTGATAAGGGTTTTGAGTAACCAGTATTTCTGAATAATAACTTTAATTAGGAGAATATTCATGAATTCAGGTAACAACTTGAAACTTTTCAGTCATATCTTGGTTGTCTATACCACAGTTTGGTTCACAAACTTTTCTCCAGTGGATACACTAACACACATATCTCTCCTGTATGGTAAATGCCTTCTATCACGCACACTCTGGTCCTGGTGTTTTGATAATCCAGATTAGGACCTTGGAAGAACGTAGTGTAGTCTGGGTTTTCTCTCCTTGGAAAGCAGCGTGCTGTGAAGACGGTCTCAGAGCAAAACCTAGCTACTCATGGAGCCAGGATGTGACCAGGTGACCACTTAAGACCAAAATGAGAAGTATTTCCCAGATTTACAGTTTTAGACACGGTCATGATCCCTGCTGGCACAGTATATGCGCAGGATGATGTAAACATTAAATAGCACCAATGATTATGTACTAGTCAAAAAAAGAACAACCAACTTTGTTTAAAATAACTAACTTTTCCCAGCACTATACAAAAGGGTTGAAGAATCTAGCCCTGAACTCCAGGAGCTTTAATACTTTAAAGATATTAAACATTATAAAAAGTTCAAAATTACATACAGTTCATTTTTAAAACTCACATCTCATCAATACCTACACATTTGGATGAAAGTATCAAGACAGTTAATACCTGAAATTGCATTTTAATTAAATTTGCTTAGCTTTTACATAACAGATCTTGAAGATCGTTTCAAAAAATACCTCTTCATAATAAAGGACAAATTAATCATAAAGCCAGCCAGCTCTGCTTATAGCTGAGCGCTACAAAGGAAATAAAATTAACGACAAACATTTGAGGGTATGGTATAAAAGAGTAAAAAAGGGAGTAATAGAAGTTCTGATGCCATTTCTTTTCTGTTTTGTGACAGGCTGCTTACATTTCTCTGGGTTTGGTTTACTGCATCATAATACAACAACAATGCTCACATCAAGAGTTGTCTCATGAGCACTAAACAAAGTCTGCACAGTCTTTTGACTATGCTGAGTCTATAGAAATGTTAAATGATGTAATTATAATGAAGTGTTCCATCAGTTTAAGGTAAGAGTGTAATGACAGAAGTAGTGCTATTCAATTATCAATCTTATTAACTCTTTGGAACAATCAGCAATCTACTGAATGTTTTAACTCAAGTAGGGTAATTAATTGTCCGCAAATTCTTATTATTGTAAAGCTAGTCAGCAATCTACGATAGGTAGAAATATGAAATTGGAAAGTACAAGATAGGAATCCAGGAGGAGAAACCCAGCATGAGAATTTGATCAGAGGCACAGTACAGTATATACCGGACAGTTAGCCAAGTACTTGACTACTGTTGCTTGTTTCACTGCACTACCACAGAGCTCAGTATGGGGAAACTCAACCCTGTGTTTCAGGAGTTCTTTGTAGCCAGCTTTGAACGCCCTGTTGCCATCACTAGACTGGTACGAACACTCATGTTAACTGATTTAAAATGATCTAGTATATGTCTACATAATATTGTAACCACACTCACAGGAAATTAGTAGATTTTAAAAACTAGCACCATACTCCATCAAACACCATGAAAACAACCCTAACTTTCTACAGCGAGAAACACAATTTGTTTATCAACTAAAAAAAATGTTCCAAATAGCAGCAATCTACTGATAGATCTGTCAAAGTCCTACCCCCAACTTCTTCATTCTTTATTCTCATAATATTTCTTATAATAATGGTTCCTGATTCTTATTTCTTCAGTTTAGAAAAAAGAGCAATGACAAAATGTTTTGGGAAGATGGTGGAGAAATTAATGATAAACAGAAAAAAGCTGATGCGGCAAGCTCTTCTAAATGGTATTCTCTTCAAAATGACAGATGTTTGCAAAGAGAGCTTTTAAAATCAGTACAGGACTAAAATAAACTTTGAAGCTTTTCAACATGAACCCTGTTTTTTAAAGCAACAGAGGATCAAAGAGCAATGACGAAAAGACAAGAAAAGCCCACAAACCACCAAACCAAACTCAAAGTGTATTAAAGGAAGTAACATAAGACACCAAATGTGTTTAAAATAAACTAGCAGAAAAGAAAAAATTAAATTTTAAAAAAAGGGTAGGCATATTAAGTGTTTCTGACTTACATGTAAGTCTCTGGAGAGGGTGACATTGCTCATGTCAATTGCTCGAGGAGTGTAACCATGGGCTGTATCTACAGAGATCTGAATGACAAATGTGCAAAACAGTGGAGTTATAAAAGCATTTGACATGAAGTAGTAACATTAAAAAGATACTGAAAGTAATGAAAGAAGGAAAAAGTCACTTTATCCCTAGAGAGCAACAGGATCCTATGTTGCCCAACTGAAAATACATTAAGGGTGGTAAACCTAAGTGAGATGTAGGCAAAGGTCTACATACTTTGTTCTGACAGACAGCCATCAGACACAAATCCCCCTCATTCAAATGTAAATTTCACTTGAACTCATTTAAGATTTGAAGTCATTGTGGATAATGCTGTACTAAAGTTATAATTAAATCTCTGCATTTTCTAGAGATTTTTTTTTTCTCAGCAGGTGAAATCTCAGACAATTTAGTTTAAGGTGAATTCATGAAGAAATCAAACTTTGAATTTGTCTTTTCAACCTTATTTCTACATGTAGGAATAGAATCTACTAAATACACATCTTTTTCCTTCTTCTTCTCCTCTCCACTCAGAAAATATCACCATTTTGTCATTCTTTTTTTCTAATGCCTAAATTTGTCACAGGTTTGCTCATTATATTGACACAAATGTTTGAAGAAGGATAAACGATGACGGAGATTCCCTGGATGGCAAGCCGCTGACGCAAGAAATGCGTCCAGAAAAGAGGCATTGCTGGGCTTTCCTCTATGGATTCTGCTGTAACAGATAAACTCACGTCCCCCACCGGCACATCTTCCTTTAGAAAGAACAGTGTCCAGAATTTTGTTCCTATGTCTGATATTATTTTCATATGCATGTATATGAGCATGTGCAAGTCCTCAAATTTCAAAGCCCTCCTTTCAAAAGGCAGATATTTTTAATAGAGAGTAACACAAAGAACATACAAGCAACACAGTAAATAAATACTGATAAAGCATTGTTACATTAACATTAATCTACTGATTAAATATACTTAAAATTTCTCGGCTGAAGTCAGGAAAATGCTATTTTGTGTGTGTGATGACAGCACAAACCATTTTAAACACAGGATGAGTATTGATATGATTGTGTACTCTGAAACATTGTAGGCATCAGAAGCTCTTGTAGAAAAGTTACGTAATTTCATTATACTAAGGGAAGACTGTAACTTAGCTACAAAAGCTGTTTTCATGTGTTGATATAACTTGAATCTCAAATGTAAAGCTATTCATTCTAATGAGCTGCTTATGCTTAAAGCATACACAAATCTCTCTGTCAGTATAGCCTTTGGGACTGGTATTACAAACACCCAAGTCGGGAAACTTGGAAGTCAAAAATTTTGGAAGGCAATTATAGTATAGTTTAGCCCGAGTGCTAAATTAAATCACTTGATATACACTTTCTAGTGTCTATAGAGAGTGCAGACGCAGGTTCAAACTGCTCATTTTTCACAGGCATATCACCACTCACACAGGTAAACAGTGCAGAGCTGAGGGGAGGGAAGAGGGAAAGATTTTTCCCCTCCATTTTATTTCCCCCGCTTGTTTGGCTCCATGCGCGTCTGTGCGAATCAGAGGAAGAGATTTTCTCCCCTCCTCAGTTTAATTGCAAAGTGGATGGAGCACTAAGACAATACAGTGCCAGTTTTTCTCCATTTTATCCTTACAGCATTTTGATTTAAGAAGGCTATTTTAAAGGGAAAACCCCTATCTTTAATATTTTCAGAATTTTGGCTGTCTATAGATGTAAACTTTGTAACATTGATGTTTGTATAAATTTTCCTTGAAAAAAATAAATTAAAATAATTTATACATGTACCTTTATTTATTTCTTTACATGCTTAAAGACATCCATAGCCACCAAACTCCAAAAAATAGGAGACTAAAATCATACTAATACTCACAATTAATGCATAATCACCTACTGATGTAAATAATTACCCTAAATAATGTAGTTAACTTTAAATCAAGTGAATAAACACACTCTTATTTCGGTTTTGTTCTGGCTTTTTGAAATTGTTTATTAAAATATTAGTTTGGAACAGGGAAAGAAAGTTCCAGCTTCAGTGAATGGAAGTCCAAACCAATCTTTAGAGTTGTACAACTGCTTGTGAAAAATGCTTTCACATATTTTTATGCTACAGGTTTACTTCATCACTTGTAAAATTAAAGACCAGAGAGCAGAATTTGCATGCCTTTTTTTAAAAATAAGTTTTTAATAAAATGGCTCACTTGACTGGTTTGAGATATGCGACGCGTCCGATTATACAGTGCCATGGAATCTCCCTCCCGCGTTCTTTCAATTCGCCATCCCCATGCCAGCATAGTTTTTAGTGATTCTTTGATCGGCCATCGATAAATTTCTTTCTCCTAGAAGAATGCACATGCAATAATTGCCTTGTTTATTACGTAGCTGTAGAGAGCAAAAAATAAATATTGGGATTCCGCCTGGTTATACTGAGATGCAAAGAAATGTACTGAAATCAGCCGTCATGGCCCAGGGGTAATGCAAAGAAGCAAATAAATCACGTAAGATTTTAGAACGCTTACTTATAATTTCAGAGGTGGGCAGAAGAATTCTGGCCCTGCAGGAAGCTGATGATCACAGGGCAAACTGTGTTAATGGCATGATCAGGTATGAGCTCAAAAGTGGAGCAGTAATTATCAGGAGTAATACAGTGTTTTGTCTGCTACATGAAAGAAAAAACCATAATCATAGAATAGTAGAAAAAAAGCCTATCTTGGAATGGACCTCTGGACATCAATCAGACTCAACCTTCTGTTGAGGTCAGATAAGCTAACCTAATTTGGCTTTCAACAGTTATCAAGATTAGGTTATCTCGGGCTTGCCAATATCATGCTTGAACACTTGCAGTACAGGTGATTTCACCACTTCTCTGGACCAACCTATTCCAATGTCTAAGTTGTCAAGACAAGAAGGATTTCTAGAAAGCATTTCTGCTGAAACAACTGACACCCATTGCCTCTTGTCCTGTCACTGTGCATCCCTGTGAAGAGGGTACATCCATCTTCTCTATAACTAGCACATACGTACTGGGAAACCAAGATTATATCCCCATCAACTTTCTCTTCTTTAAACTGAACAAACCCAGTTCCTTCACCCTTGCTTCATTTATCAAGTTCTGCAGCCTTCTCATAATCTTGGTGACCCTCTGCTGGAGACCAGCCAAAGCCTAAATCTAAGTCTTCACTAAGCAAATTCCTGTATGACCTCACTGTGAAAATACACTGGCAATATGACACTTCAGTTTCACTATAAGTTATGTGATGTAAACTCAGCCATGAGAGAAAACAGGTTGAGTGGCCTATTTATTGTACAATGAAACCCTTCTATCTCTTTTTGAGATTTTGAGGAAGGTAACAATCACATATTAGCTGACATATCCCAAATTTTTAAAAAGTGATGTAAACACAAGGTGATGTTTTCACAGTGAATGAAGTAATCTTTCAGTCACCCTGAACCAAAAATGAACAAATTCCTTACCTTTTCAGATAGTAACTTATATTGTTTCATTAATGGTTGCACTTTTGCAGATTCAGAATATGTTTCACCATATGTCCAGCCATTGGCAAACTGAAAACAGTAATATATGTATATAATAAT